CCGTCCCCCCGGCCTCCCGCGCGCACCTCGGCCTCTGCTTTCCCGCAGCTAGCCAGCTGGGGGGTGCGGGGCCGGCTGCCCTCCCGCAGCAAACTTTGCTTGCTGCTGAATATTGATGAGTGCAATCGGCTCGGCCAGGAGTTGCTGCCGCGGCTGCGGGAAGGAGCGTGGCCCGAGCAGGCGGCGGCGGCGTCGGCAGCAGCCATGTTTGTCAAGCTGTAGCAGCAGCTGCTGCTGCTCTGACTCGGCTTCACCGGCTGCCTTCGTTTCTCCCACTGCCGCTTCCCGTCCCCCAGGTCCTGCAGCCATGGACCGAGCCGGCCTGCATTCAGGAAGGCGAGCTTCGGGGTGCACCCGCTTCGGCCGACTGGCCTGCGGCCTGGGCACGGCCACTGCAAAGGCTCCGGCGCCGGCTGGGCGCAGGGTGCAGCGCTATTGTGACCGCTGCGCCCGAGCGAGCCAGGAAGGATGGGGGGGGGGTAACCTTTTTGTGCAGCGTCTGGGATACCCCATTGGAACCCCACAGCTCCTTCCCTTCGGGAGATCGGGTCCCTGGACTTCTAGCGGGGGAGGGGGAAGACAATTCCTGTATGAGATTTGGGAATTTCTACTGCCAAAGGCATTTTAATTTTAGTTCAGCCCAACTGTCCACCAGTCTGCAGTGCAGGAAATAGGGACGGGCTGTTTCCATGTGGCAAGATCTGCCCAGCTCCGGGAAGATGGAATTTGTGGAGGCTCTCCGAGGCCATTTTTCCATTCTCAGCTGGGGAACTTTTCCGCCCATGAAGTGCAGCAGAAAGGCATCGAGGCCACTAGGCCTCGAGAAGTGGCTGCCATTTTGAAGATAAGAGTCAAATGGCCTGTTATCTCAGATTAATTGCTGTGTTTTTCGATTCCAGGTTGATGGTGGCCCAGGATGGATCAGACCTGTGAACTACATAGAAGAAATTGTCTGCTGCCCTTTTCCAATCCAGTGAATTTAGATGCCCCTGAAGACAAGGACAGCCCTTTCGGTAATGGTCAATCCAATTTTTCTGAGCCACTTAATGGGTCTGCTATGCAGTTATCGACTGCCAGTGGAACATCCCAAAATGCTTATGGACAAGATTCTCCATCTTGTTACATTCCACTGCGGAGACTACAGGATTTGGCCTCCATGATCAATGTAGAGTATTTAAATGGGTCTGCTGATGGATCAGAATCCTTTCAAGACCCTGAAAAAAGTGATTCAAGAGCTCAGTCGCCAATTGTTTGCACTTCCTTGAGTCCTGGTGGTCCAACAGCACTTGCTATGAAACAGGAGCCCTCTCATAATAACTCCCCTGAACTCCAGGTAAAAGTTACAAAGACTATCAAGAATGGCTTTCTGCACTTTGAGAATTTTACTTGTGTGGACGTTGCAGATGTAGATTCTGAAATGGACCCAGAACAGCCAGTCACAGAGGATGAGAGTATAGAGGAGATCTTTGAGGAAACTCAGACCAATGCCACCTGCAATTATGAGCCTAAATCAGAGAATGATGTAGACGTGGCCATGGGAAATGAACAAGACAGCACACCAGAGAGTAGACACGGTGCAGTCAAATCGCCATTCTTGCCATTAGCTCCTCAAACTGAAACACAGAAAAATAAGCAAAGAAATGAAGTGGACGGCAGCAATGAAAATTCAGCCCTTCTCCCAGCCCCTTTTTTACTAGGAGATACAAACGTTACCATAGAAGAGCAATTAAACTCAATAAATTTATCTTTTCAGGATGATCCAGACTCCAGTACCAGTACATTAGGAAACATGCTAGAATTACCTGGAACTTCATCATCATCTACTTCACAGGAATTACCATTTGTAAGCAGTTTTTGGTACAAATTAAATATATACACAAATGTATATATACAGGCAACTTAAAGGGAAACTTACAACTATCTGTTTTTGGTTTATCAGTTCACAACTGAAAGCCTATTGCTAACGATAAGCTGTTTGGGGAACTTTTACTTTATATGAGTTTGGTTCTTTTTTGATTTTCCCAGTTAACTCTCTTTTGAGGATTAGCTGAGTGTTAGCTTTTAAGGATGTTTGATTTAGTTCAGATTTAATTTTTCAAGATGGAGGTATTTATTTAGCTTTTTTTTTTTTTTTTAAATCTGTTTTGGGCGTTGACGTGTTGGTATCTTGAGTACAGGTGAACCAACCCTGGAGTCCTGTTTTCACATGAGGCAGGGCTTATATTTGACTCTTGCTGCAAGATGAAGTGCATTTTGGGCACAAATTGAAAGTAGCTAAAATGAGATGGCTTTCTTGGACTTCAGTCAAAATTTAAATTAGTTTAATTTTTCTGAACTACCCGTTGTGAAGGTACAGCATCCTATCCTAGGCTTTAGATAACTGTCACCGTCAGAGTAGGCTTTGAACTCTTCCTAGGTTTTAGTTTTGAAGTGTATATACATATGTGGTATATGTTTATGTGTGTAGAAATGGAAAAAATTCTGGGTTATTCAGTAGTGCTGTAATATTGTTAAGAGGGTGGTAAGTGATGTTCTTTTTTATTTAATCTTAGGCAGAATTTATCAACTGTCTTAGTGAGCTAAGTGATTAATTGACTTAGCCTCCATTTTATCATCTTTAAAATTTGAAACTATTTGATTGTTGAAACAGTTCTTCTCAGCTTTAAATCTTTGATTCTGATTTTGTATCTGCCCAGACACAGTCATGGTCATCTGTACTGACACCAAAGAGGACTTTTTTCCCTCCAACAAATGCCTCTGAAATACTATGTTAAGATATAACCAGACAATTTTATGGTGCGGTGATCATTTTGAATGCATTATTCATTTTACCATATAGCCCTGCTTTATGGTACAAAAGGAGAATTTGGGTGTGCTGCTTTTGTTTTTATTGATTTGTATCTTAAACATGCTTTAGTACTTCTGGGTTTCTTAGCTTGGCAGTTGTAGATTTAAAAATTTTGTTTTGGTAGTTATCTTGCGTCTATATTCTAGATATTTTTTAGGCTGGGTAGGCTGTGTTGGCAACCTATTGTCAGCTCAGACAAGTCTTTTCTTGGGTTCACATTGAAAGTTACTTTACACGTGTACGTAGTTTCCTTCGTGTTTATATAAAAACCTGAATTAACAGTGGAGATAGATGTTTCCCTAGAAGCATACAAATAGAAGTAGAAATCTGTTTGATTCTCATCAAAGAGATATCAGTGGAATTTTGGTTCTATTAAAAGCAACTGAAAGTATGTTATGCATCTAAAGTGGGAGTTAGCAAACTTGTATACATGTAGAAAAATTTTTTTCAGTCAGAAAATCTAAATTGCTGAAAGACTATGGGCGTGAAGAAGCAATAGCTCTTTATTAGGCCTTTGAGTCAAGGTGGAGGCTGAAACCTATTGCTTTGATTTTTGCTTTTGATACTTTTTAACTGAAGATTTAAAAAAGTGAAGTCAATCTCATGCAAATTTAGCCAAACAGTGTAGCTTGGGAAAAAGGTATAATTAAAAATTAGGTATAGCTATACGCTTGCTTCAAGTATTTAGACTATTCACAGTTGATTCCTTGATGCAGCAGGTATAGGACACTTAACTCTGTATTAGGTCCTGTGCTCAGGGCTGGAAATTTTAGAAAATCCTTAGCAAATGCTTTTTGTCTTTTATTCTGTCTGTAATATTGCAATAGAATAAGATTTTTTGGTGAGAGTAAGAATAATTATTAGGGTTGTAAACCCCATGTCAGGAGTTAGAGAAAGACATAATTCGATCCTGTTGTCTGTTGTTTTGTATATCTAGCTTTAAGCAGGCTCTTTGCCTCTTCAGTTTACTCTCATGTGCTTTTCAGTTGTTTCTTCGCATACAGTGATGTGGCATGATTGTTATAGTTAATAATCTTGACCAGGTGCTTTTGTGTTTAATGGGGTTGATACCTTCTAATTCCTGCCAGTGTACATCTACCGTGTGCAGTGCTTTGTACATTGTAGGTTCTGGATAAAATCCTGAAGGAAGGTTGGTTCCCCAGAGTTCCAAGTTTAAACAGGCACATACTTTAGTGTGTTAAGTGCTTTGTATTGTCTCATTGGGTCCTCCTAGCCTTATAGTAAAAAGATGTTATAGAAGTCATTGGCCAACCTTCAAGGCACTTGAGATTATATGAGACGACTGAAACCCTTGAAATAATAGGATTATTCAAGTACCTTTGGCTCTAGTGACTTCTGGAGGTCTGACACATTTCCCTGGGCCTGAAGTAACATCTGGTTTTCTCACTAGGCTGGATTAGCATCAGTTGTTTTTTATTCTTCCTCACTTAAATATTTTATGGAGAATTTTTACTCTGTGGATATTTGCGAATTCGGGGATCCTCAAAAGTTCTAAGGATATAGCCAGCTCAAGGATGGTCTGATGGACATATTCAACTGGTGCTCCTCTTTGAAGAAGATGACCATTAAAAATGAATTCACTTAAAACGGACTAACATTTCATAAGTAAAAGAGATAAAGGATTATTTAGGATTTTATATTGAAAGTAAAATTAAGAATTATGAAATTAAGTTTCTTAAACCTTTATCAAAATTTAGTTATATGGCAACTATTTGTTGTAATAAGACAAGAATCAAATAGATTTTAACAAATTTTGTCCAGCAAAATTGTGGAATAGGGAGATGTTATACTTCACTTTCTCACGATCACAGGGGGATAAATTCTTGTAAAAATATTTAAGGACTTAAATCAGTGTTACTGAGGTTCTCTTTATAAAATGTTTACTGTGGAAAATTTCAAGCATACGCCAGAGAACAGAGAATAGTTGAAATCTCTGTGTACTTCACATTCAGCTTCAAGAATTGCTGTTATTTTGTGTCTTGTTTTATCCTTTCAACATTTTGTCATTCACTAACATTTCTTAATCCTTAGATATTCAGAACACTCATTTGAACCTCCTGTCCTGTTGTTATCCTTGTCATTTGTTCGCTGGTTGACCTAGATCATTTCCTTGCCTGTAATTGGAGTAGTTCTTCTTTTTATTATTTATATCGACTTTAAAGATCCGCAGCGTCTTTTTGCCAGATTTGTTTGTAGTTTTACCTTGTAAATGATTTACACTGGACTACTAGTTAATGCTTCATTAAGTGCAGATAGATGCAGTATTGTCCATGGAGTGGATGTTTGAGTAGAGACTTACTTTTTGCCATTGAAAAATGGATATTTTGGTGTTGTAACAATATTTGTTCCCCACCCTGTATAATCCTGTGGCTTCAGATAATCATAAACCACCCCCCTGTACTAAGTTCTGTGCTATGGATACTTAAGTGGTTAATGAGTTAAGTGGAGTAATTAATGAAACCTAGAGCAATCAAGGCTTTAAGGAAGAAGTGGAACTTGAATTGGCTTTTCTTGGCTGAGTAGGATTTGGTTATGTTTAGAAGAGTACTTTGGATGTGGTGAATTAAACGAACATAGTATTTTTAGAAGATACTTGTTGGAGATTGTTTGGATAGGATGGTTGTAGTCAGGTAGTAGGGCCCAGAAATCCAGACCGTGGCATTTGGTATTGATGTGATAGTAACTGGGACCAGCTAAGGATTTTAGCTGAGAAGTGAAATGATAAAATCTGTTCGGAAAACATTAGCTGGGGGAGAGTAGAGGCAAGGTAAGAATATAGGAGTCTGTTGCAATAGTAATTAGAACTTAGACTTGAGTAGAGTCAACAGTAGAAAGAAAAGGGGTAAATCCATTAAGATTATTTCAAAGGGGGAAATTGAAAGTCCTTTTGGGGTTGCCTGGACTGGAGGAAAAGTGGAGCCTGGGTTTGAAGAATGAAGGGAAGAGATGAGAGCAGATGTCCAAGGCTTGTTATGTTGGTGCCTGAGCCAAAAAATGGTTTCTCAGGGTTTCTCTCATCTCAGTAACTCTACTCTTTTCTTTTTTCTCTCTGACAAGAAAATCGATCCTATCTCTACACCTCTCAGGTTCTGCTCTGTTTGACTCCCTCCTTCTTGCTGGAGGACTTTGTTTTATTCATTACTCTTTCTCTCTGGGATCTTTATTCTTTACCTCTCCATTGCGTCACTTTTTCTGCCTAAAAACTGGATGACATCCTTCTATTCCAAAGGAACTTTCCTCTATCTTGTAAGCCTCCATTTATCTTTCGCCTTTACTGGTGAATTTCTTGACAGAATTGTCTACCTTATTTACTTTTCCTTAAAGCTCTCTGGATCGGCTTCTGTATCCTCCGCTTTACTGAAGCTGTTCTTTCATAAGTCACAGATGACTCATTTATCTTACTAAATCGCAGCATTTTCACCACCACTCTATAAACAGTTCTTTTTTGACTGCTTTCTCTCTTTTCCTCTTTCTTTAATTCTCTGCAGTCACATCTACTTTCATTGATTATTTTACTGCCACTGTGCTGTATGAAAACCCTCTTGACTTGACTTCTGAGCATCAGACCAAGAAATTCTAATTGCCAATCAAGCTTCTCTTTTAGTGCCAAACATGCGTTTCCTTCTGTGTTAATGATGGCATTATCCCTGTTCATTTCAAGGCTGGAAACCTTGGAGTAACTTATTTATATGATCAAAGCACATTTGAGTGCCTCTTCTGTGCTAGGCACTGCTAGTAGAAAAGAAAGACATAGACTGTGTTTTTAAGGAACTTTACTGTATGAGGAGGACAAGTGTAAACAGTGACAGTACAGAATACTAAGTGATCTTGTAGGTGTTGTAGATGTCCTTGGGGAGTGTGGAGGAAGGCATACCTGGAATAATCAGGAAGAATTTCATAGAGGGGTTATATGTGATTTGAGCAGAGACATGCTGGTATGTAACGTGCAAGTTTCAATAAAACTTTTGATAAGG